TGTTCATGCAAAGTATGCCCTTCTCTTGCATACAAAGCTGGTAGGAAAAGAGATGTGAGCACATGGAATTGTGATCATATCCTCATGACCTAAGCACACTCCTGCAAATGCATAAAATTATGGAATAAATGCTTACTATTCAGCATCCACAAGATATATAGAGAGGAAGGGGAGTATACTGCACTCTTGGCTGAATATAAAATTTATTCTTTCAGTCTTGCTTTCTGCAAGAAAACTTGTGAAAGGTTTTCTCCTCTACAGAAAAAGAGCTGCTCATTCAATAGACAGTTTTTATGTTTTTGGTAGCATCCCATAGGTTACTAATTGAATCAGAGTGTATGAATATAGCACATTGTCCTGGTTTACTAGGACAGGATTTGAGAGTCATATTTCTGTAATTTTCTAAGGACTATAACACTCTGTTGCATGGGAACAAAGTGGTAAGACTTTGCTATTGTTTTTCAACTACGGCTGGTATATGATGCTCAAAGGCTTTAGCAGTCTATAAACAGGTGCTGAGGCTGGGGGAAGCAGAAACCCAGGGTGGTTGACACCAAGCTGATCCCAGGCTGACCAGTTAGTACTATTCATACCATAAACATCACATTCACTATAAATCAGGGAGTTTGCTGCGGATGGCCCTTCTCCCTTCTTCCTTCTTTTTTCTTCCCTCTTCCATGGCTGACATCTCAAGAGGGACTTGTCTACTATCCTGCCCCTGAGGCCTACTCCCACACTGTACTGACTCGAGTATAACTCTGTCTACTTTATATTAATACTGTTATTAATATTAAATTTTATTATAACTTTATTAAATCTATTTCTATGTCAATCCACGAATCTCTTTTCTTTTCCCAACCCTACTCCCCAGGCTGGGAGAAGGCATGGAGTGATAGAACAACTGTATAAATCACAACACACGTATTCAGTAGATCTGAACACTGACTTAAAAGATTTCTTCCATTCTCCCAATTTTTCTGTGAGTGCCATCTCTAATGAGCAACTAAAATTTTTTAAACACGCACAGCTGACTGTTCAAAGCCAGATAACCATAGCCATATACTTCCATTTTCCTTGTCCTATGTGTTCAAATAAGTACACAAGTAATAAAAAAGAAGAGCCCTAGAATTTTTTATTAAACAAGAGCTACTGTCTTTGTAACTTAGGGTCAATACAAAGAAATTTTGAAACTCTTTAAGCTTCAGAAAGATACATCTAACATAATTTGTGATACTGTGAGTTCAGAGAAAAAAAAATTGGAGACTTATTTAATATTATTATAGTTGTAAATATCTGTCTCAAACAGTCGATACAAGACACACTTAAAAACCAAGCTTCTTGCAGTCCAGGATCTTAATATGGTATGAAACTGCACTGTTGCATTGCAAAGGCTCAAATACCAACATTTCCTATCAGCACTACCAGATTTGGCATAGGAAATAAGCCTACATTTGAAAAATACAGTATTTAAATGTTTATAAATTACACTAACAGACAATAATCATCCACACGTTCTGCTAATGTTGCACAAGATCTTCACTATCAAAAGTAACCACCGAAAAATGCTGTTACAGTATGAATTTACTAGACCATTCATTGAATTTTCCCCTCCAATAAATAAGCACAAGATAAATTAGAAATATACAAATTAAAGGCAAAAAAACAACTGTGTTTCTTGGACATAAATTATTCCTTTAACTACTACTTATGGCCTGTGGACTATTATTTAAATGTAATGTTTTTCTTATTCTGAACAGCACTTTTGTTAAGTGAAAGAGAAATCTAAAGCAAGACGCTGGGGAAGCATGCCACAGTCTCAAGCTTTAAAGCAAGTAAAATTCAGAAAGGGTTAAGGACAGAGGGCCACTCTTCCTTAATAGGTCAAAGTTCACCTAAGTAAACCTCCTTCAAATACTTCATGGGACTATCTATCCTTACACATCTTCCATTACCTCTAGCTAGCCCATCCCACATTTTTACAACATCAGCCCCAAGTTCTGAAAACAATACCTCACAAATATTACCTAAATAGATTAACAGCATGATTAAGAAATAAACGTGCTTACTGTTCTTGAATCAGAGAAAGGATTGTACTCGTCTAGCCCTGGAGGAATGTTTCTTGTCACCTGTGTAACAGAAGGATCCTAGAAAACAAAACAGTTCTGTAAATGTATGCACATGTATATAAGCAACAAATCAACATTTACATCATTACATCATACAAAAATCAGCTTTTGTTTCAACCGAAAAAAGGTTTGTTTTCACTAAAAAGCCTGTAAACCAACAGCTCTTTCTCGGTCTTCAAAATTACATCATTCCATTCTGAGCTTCTTATAAACCTAGATTAACACAGCCTAAAAGAAACTCCATCTGTCATGGACTTGATTTATAAGGAAAAAACCTCTCAATAGAGAAGTGAAGAAAACTGTATCCTATGTTGACCACTGGACTCCACAACTAAACACCCAAAAAAACAACAGAAGAGCTTTCTGTATCTCTTGGTTATCCCTACCCAGAAGTACCTCCAACACCTTCAGGAACAGGAAAAGCATTTCAGAAAATTGAAGCTGAGGAAACAGCATCCCATAATGCCAAAAGGACTTCTGGCTCAGCTTTCACCTAAACTGGTAAAACAAAGAAAACAAGCGTATTTTTTTCCTCCAATTAACTATATGCAAGTACCATCCAGCTCACAGTTCATAAACAGGTTGTCTAGTGCAACAGGCACTCACTGTGAGCTGTGTGGCTAGCTCAGCCCTCAGTTGTCTGGTAAGCTCGAGACTAAATGAGGCAGTGCTGCATCATTCAAAGAACCAAAACCTGAGCTAAGCCTTAAAATTCCTCAACAAATGGTATGCTCCAAGTTCCAATCAAACTATTCAGTTGCTTGAGCAAATCACCCAGACAATACAAAGATATGCAAAAGACAGAGCACCTATGAATAAAGAAAGAGATAAAGGGAAACACCACGGCAGACAAACACCTCAGGTGATATTATCCACTTAGGCACATTCCTGCCCACCATCACGTAGATCAGAAAATAAAAACCTTAAGACCAGGGCTGGGAACTGGGAGTCACTTCTCCAACTACTCAGCTGGCATTTGAGAAGACCCTTCCTCCTTGGTTGGGATGTCTGACAAGGTAACTTCCCTGGGACTAAGAGCCCTTACCTGAAGGGATAAGTGAATATCTGGCATGCTTTAAGTTTATAGTTGCAGGTGATTAACACACATGTAGTATTTAGTGTGCTTGCGAGCTGTGACAGTGTGATCCATGAACTGTCTTATAATTAGTCTTATTGTCTTATAATAGTGCAACTCACTAATCTCTTGTGGTTGCAAGAGTGTAGTCTTGCTTTTAAACTGCAGCAGTGCATTTCTTCATTGTATCCGTAAAACCTGCAATACTGGCATATTCAATCTGATGTGTTGTTTAAATAGTTTGAACCCTGCAGCCGAATCTTTTTGCCAGACTATACAGTAAGAAAGACTGCTTGAGAAAGTGATTTCAAGAATGATATATTCCTCTGTGCTAGAGACAGGCATATTTGGTTCTGCAGAAGAGCAGAAGTTTCTACTACCATACAACACGGTAACTTCGTATGAAGAAAAACTGTACTTATTCCATGTGATGCCTGGTTCCACTGCATTGTTTCTGTGCCTTAATTTAAGGTTTTTGCATGTTCAGAAAATAAGAAAGGATTACAGGAAAGTTTTCTTGAAAACTAATAAATCCACTTATTCAACAGGGTTAGTTACTTTATATTTACATAAATGCACAAAGCAAGTGTACAGTATTTTATATATTAATCAAATATACAAAATAGCTATAAATAACTATTTACTTATTTATAACATGTATAGATATATGTATTTTCTTAATTTCAATAATCTCGTTCAACATTCGAAAATAAAATGGAGTTGATGAAGACTGTGAAGAATACAAGTATTTACATTTATATATTTACTTTCATATTTCCTATAAAGACAGCTACATTTAAAAATCTCTACATGAAATATTTGCCTTTTTTAAATAGAGTGATTTAATCTACATTTAAGAAAGCACAGAAACTAGTAAACTACTGAAAAATAAAATCTAAATTCTTTGAATCAGCATTTATTACAGCATTAGCTTAGTCCTGACAGCAGTAACTTAATCTACAGATGCAGTCAACTTATTTACAGCCAGGGAAAAAAAAAACCACAACAACAAAACAACAACAAAACCCACCAAACAAAAAACAGGGCAGAATATCTACCAACTCTAAAATCCTACAGAATTCAGCAAATGAGAATAAGTCTGTTTTTTCCACTGGCTATAGTCTCAAATTTATTAGTATGCAGTAATTAAAAAATGTTTACTATTGTCGAGATTTAGGGCTGATCTGGCCACTAAATGGCTGATAGATGGTCTCTATTAACACTCTCCCCTCCCCAGAAGGGGAAGAGAAAGAGAGTAAGGAAGAGAGACTGTCCTGGTTTTATTGTGGCAGAGATTTTTTCTTTCTCTCATAGTAGCTAGTAGGAGTTTTATTTTGGGTTTGTGCTGGGATTGATATAACATGTCAGTATTTACATTGCTCAAGCTTTATTTTTCAGTCTCTACCTAAACATGTGTTTATAGTCTCTTTTGGTTTGGGGTTGTTTGTTGGGTTTGTTTGGGGTTTTTTTTGGGGGGAGGGTTGTTGTTTGTTGGGTTTTTTTCCCCTTCTCTCTGCACAAGAGTATGGTGGGGGAAGCAAAAGCCCAGGATTCTCTGGGACAGGTGACCCAGAACAGATGATCCAGATGTGATCCAAGCTGACCAATCAAGATGTATTTTGTCCCATAAACTTAACACTCAATATAAACTGGGGAGTTTGCAGGGGAAGACCTCTTCACTCTTTCAACCCTTCCTTCCTTCTCTTCAATCCCTTCTCTTCTACATCATGATAGCACCCAATCTCAGTTCCTGAGGCTTACCCCTTGTGTCACATTTTCGTTGGTGTACGGCCAGTGACTGCTGCTTGTGAGCTAACTCTGACTGCTTTATTATCACTGTTCCTATTCTTGTTGCAGTTCATTAGTATTATTATTTCAGTTCAGTTACCTCAACTGAAATTTTTTTTACTTTTACTCTCCTGATTCTCTTTCCCATCTCACCAGGGAGGGGAGAGGGAGTTAAGCAAGCAAACTGCACAGTGTTCAGCTGCTTGCCAGGTTAAATGGTGACACTGGATTAAACCAGGACAGAGACTTATGGGTTAGAAAAGAAAAGCAGAACACATTTAATGAAACAATAATATAAAAAGATAATAATGTAAATAGAAAAATAATGAAATATATACAAAACCAATACCAAATCCTCTCCCTCTGCCCCAGTGATGATTATGTGACCAGAGGCTCTGCAGAGCAGAGCATTGGAAAAGTTCCAGACTGGACTCAGTAGCAGGTGGGAGCAGGACCCAAGAACTGGATTCAGGAACTAAATTCAGGAACACATGGATTGAGAACTAAAGCAGATGAGCTAGCAGAGATTCGTTCAGACATTTGCCATGGCAGAAGAGGAGAAGAGGAAGAGAATCTGACTCTCATGATCCCTCAGCTTTATAGTGAGTATGGCGTATGTGGGATGGAATACCTTGTTGGTCGGGTTTGGGTCATCATTGCCCATTCCTCTCTGCGAGTGTGACACTTCACTAATGACACCCCAATACAGCACCCATGATGCGGCAGTGGCCTTGATCTCCACAAGCACAAGTATAAGCAAGAGCTACACTTACATACCATACCTAATAGTAACTCTAAACAATCAAGCACTACCAGCTGTAGAAGCAGACACTGTCTGGAAAAATATGCCACTAGTTGCAGAGAGTGCAGTCACTTAGAGGAGACTTAACTCAAAGGCAAAATTACTCAATAGAGAATTAGTTCTATTTAGCTCAAAATAGGACAACTATAAAGAAGTTGAAGACAAGAAAATCATTGCTTCAGAAATTAAAAAACTGTATGTTGTATATTTTAATCAAACTCAAGTGCATAAGCACAGATAAAAACTACCCTTCTGGTCACATAAAATACTACTACCTTTTGCAGAAGCATACATTTAGCTGCAAAACAGTATTTTAATGGCAACTGAAAAAGAATCACCCTTTCTATAAATGTATACAAAACAATGTTTCATGAAACTCAAAATCAGCTTTCCTCCTTTAGACTTATCCCATAATTAGTAATTTCAATAAAGCCACCCTGGTGACAGTCTCCTCCATAAGTTTGCAATATTTTGTAGTTACTATCGTAGACTTGAATGCACTGTTTCAAGTAAAATCTCATGAGGTCTTGCATGAACTGATGGACTAATTCATTGTAACATGTTCTTTCATTAAATGATTGGCACAAAATATTGTCCAGAAGAACAATAAAAACAGGGAAAAGCGTGTGTATGGGGAGACTATTTGTTGTCAGAACTCAACTATCAGTAATTTGAAAAACTGAATTAAAAAATAATAAAAAAGAAGGGAAGAATTAAACCTGATATTTGAATTACATACCAGTATACTAGACTTGTCAGTACAAAAACCAAAAAGATCAACTTAAAATTAATACAAATAAAGACAATTTCATAATTTAACATCCAAGATGGTAGAAAGTTACGGTCGCTGAAAACTTTCACTATGGGCGAGTTCACTCTAGTAAGCAGCCAAGCCTCCACCCAGTTGCTTCCTCACTGCTCTTCCCAGTGAGATGGCAGAGAAAATCAGAAGGGCAAAGGCAAGTAAAAGTTGTCGGTGTCAAGGAGACAACAGTTTAGTAAAGAGGGAGGAGGGGTAGAGGAAAAAAAAGGAAATAAAAAAGTCAACAAAATCCCACAAGTGATGCAAAGGCAATCAATCAATTGCCACCTTCCACCAGCAGATAATCTTGAAACAGCCCCACCACCACTACCAGCACCACCACCATTACTGCTGAGCATGACGCTATATGGTATGGAATATCCCTTTGCTCATCTGGGGTCAGCTGTCCGGCCTGTGTTTCCTCCCAACATCTTTCCTACCCCAGTCTACTCCCAGGGGAAAGCAGAGTGTGAAACAGAGGCAGCCTTAATGCTGTGCAAGCACTGTTCAGTAACAGCTGAAATACTGGTGCCTTACCAGTGCTG